GGGCTAGAAACCAGGTGACCATGAGTTCTAGTCCTACCTTAGGCAAGAAGCCAGCTGGGTGACCTTGGGCCAGTCACTGTCTCTCAGCCCTAGGAAGGAGGCAATGGCAAACCACTTCCAAAAAACTTTGCCAAGAAAACTGCAGGGACTTGTTCAACACTGACTCAAAGGCACCAAAAAAACAACAACAACGTTAACTTCTACTTCCCTTTCACTGACCCCAAAAAAGAGAGATCCAAGTAATTTCTTCATTTGAATTGCTTCCCAAAGAGATAAATGTGAAAATGAGCAATTTCTGCAAGTTTATGATTTTGTGAACTACAGAGTTTTCCAGAGATCAACCATAACCTCACGGGATCATGTATAACATTTGTTCTAAAAATGATGGCCTTTGATTTAGGTTCATATGAGTCTCTCAGTGCCATAGCCAAAGTTCAGTATTAAGACCTTTTCTAGGGAAAAAAAAGAGTTAATATTTAAAATATTTACAGAAACATATTATTTTAGATAGATGGCAATAAACTTGTCTTATACCTTAAAAGCACGGGTTAGAGATAAGCTTCTTTAGAAATTTGTATTATTATATTATTATAATGTAATACATTACATTATTTTGATACAGTGGTATTTATACAGTATTGACTAGAGATTATTAATAATCTAAAATTTAGATAACTTAGACCTTTAAAGATAGAAAAAGAAAAAAAAGATATTATATCAATGTTAATTATAATTTGAAATGTCAGTTAATAAACATAAGATTGTTTAATTTTTTACATCCAAAGCTGAATATAACATTAATAAACAGCTGCAAATTACATCAAAATATTTGTTGTACAACAAAGCTTTCTGTCTTAAGCTGAATACTTAATGCTAAGGCCTTCACTGTATTGTTACTTATTACTATTTCTGCATGCTGAGAAAAAGAGAAAACAACAAAGCAAAGTCGACAATAACAACTAAAAGGAAAGAAAAAAGACAGGGGAAAAGCTGTTTAGTTTCTAACTTCCCCCTTTTTGTGCTTCTGCTAATTTGCAATGTTTAGAAACATTTAGGTCCCTTAGAAGCCAAACTGTAAATGTTTATATTTGCCATGCTGTGTGATATACAGTATGCATGGGAAAGAGTTAAGCATTTGAACTGCAAGCATCTGTTCATTGTAGACAAAAGAATGAGGTTTCTTTTCTGTCCAACCCCATCGAGATGCCTAAGAGGTGTTTGGCTTGTTTGTTTGTTCATCCAACTTGTATGGCTGCCCAATTCACAAGGTAACTCGGGGAGCGAGGACAAAACAACTCGGCAACCAATGACACAAATCGATATACAGTGGTACCTCGGGTTACGAACTTAATTCGTTCCGCTTCTCTGGTCGCAGCCTGAATTGGTCGCAACCCGAAGCAAATTTCCCCATAAGGTTCAATGTA